ACAACACTGTAAAATGATTATGAATCAATAAAAAATGTAAAAAAAAAATCAAATTTGAGACAATGATGGGACACCATATGGTGCTTTCTTCTAGAGGGTCTGTAAATGTGGACCTTTAGCTTGTGCAAGTGGCATTTGCTCTGCCAATTACTAGTACATAGAGGTTAAGATCTCCTCATATGTAAAATAGAGATGATAATCCCAGGATTTATTAGAAGTATCTTTCAGTAAATGTTAGCTGTTGCTGTTATTAAATTATCAGAGTTAAATCCATGAAAGCAAAGAGAAGGAAGGGAAAAATTCAAGTTTAAATTAGTTACAGCTAAATGGGCAAAGCTATATTTTCCCTTTCAGAGAACACTGCTTTAAAATAAAGCAGCTTTTTCCTTTGTCAGTTTCTTTGTTTTCAATATCAAATACTCAAAACATTTGCTGTGTGACAGTTGGAGTGGAGTCTAATGATTTGAACATTTCACATAGTTCCTGAAGTGAGGTCTTAAGTGAGTTAATTTGCCTTTTTCTTGTTAGGGAATGGCCAAATCCTGTGCTGCTGAAGCAACCGGAAGAAAGTAATTTGAATTTGCCAGTTTGGGATCCTCGGGTATGTGACTTACTATAGAATTTCATTAAACTTTTTAGCAAAAGGACCATTCTCTAAAGTGCAGTCTAGTTAAGGATAATTCCTCTTGTCCCTACTCATCTTCCTTCTGTTTGGTTTTTTTGGGGTTTTTTTTTTTTTTTTTGGTGGAGATGATTTGTACCTCGAATGCTGATCCAAATGTTATGTCATTAAAAATAACCCATATAAGACTTGAGTGGGTGTATCAACCAAGATGTTATAATCCATTGTTAAAAACTATCTTACAAGTAATTAGTTACTAATAATAGTTAAAGTACTGAAGTATATAAAAGGTTTACTTTGTAGTGCAGTTTAAAGCAGGTTTATGGTTCCAAGATAGCATAACTCTCACTAATCTTGCTTTCAGAGCAAGCGCTCATTCCTCTGAGTAACCTGGGGAGGTCATCTGTTGAACAGGTGCAGAAAGAGGATTGAGAACCACTGAACCTAGATAATCCTTTTTGCACTTATGATACTGTATTTCTTTGGTTCTAAAAGACCATTGTTTATAAGCTGCACTGTCAGTTTAACAGCTTTTCAGGGAAAAAATAAACTTCTGCAGAGTTTCCTTTAACTTTGACTTATCAGACACATCTGAGTTCAGAAACAAATGTAGTTGGGGACGGGAGATGTACTTCTTAGAATTGAGGAAATGTAGTATTAAATTTATATTTCATATTCTTCAGACTTTTGGGGAAATGAAGTGAGGACAACTGAAATAGGAGAATAGATCAATTATTCTGCTTCTAATTTCACAGGTAAATCCATCAGATAGGTATCATCTCATGCCCATAATCACCCCTGCCTACCCACAACAGAATTCTACGTATAATGTGTCCACATCAACTCGAACAGTAATGGTAGAAGAATTTAAACAAGGTAAACGTGTTAGCCCTATTGCACTTTACATGTTTCCACAAGTTTTTGGTTGACAGCAATTTTATTCTCTATTGCAGTTATGTCTGTTTTTCTAAAAACTTTCAAATGTGTATTTTTTTTTTAGCAATTGGTTTTCCAAAATATGTGATAACATTAATACCAAAAATGGAGCCACCCCAGTTGAGGAGAAATTGACTTTTGTGTTCTAAGAACAAGCATAATAAATTTACACTTTTTTTTTATACTCAGGGATTCAATGGGGTTTGAAGTTTGGGTCGGTAGGAGGATAGAGGAGCTGATAATACGATGGTCAGTTTTCAGAATCAGTGTCTGTCTCTGTCTATCTCTGTAGGTCTTGCAGTCACAGATGAAATTCTTCAAGGGAAATCAGATTGGTCCAAACTACTTGAGCCACCAAATTTTTTTCAAAAGTACAGGTACTTGAAATTTTGCATTTTGTGTGTGTATGCATTTAAGGAAGAAGAATGTTAAACTTACAAAGTTAATATACAGTAAATGACAGCTGTCACTTATATTTCAAGTGAAGTAGAGACTAGGTTAGCAGAAATCCTGGGTGATGAGAAAGTCTCTATATTCTAGTAGTATTTAACCCAGTATTCATGTATTTTTGTTTTTAGTGAATTGTTTTTAATTGCAGGATCTAGAATTAATTTTGTGAAAATCAGAGCATGTTTTAATTTTCATAAATGTATGCCTGTATTAGCTCTTTTGTTCATTGGGAGGGAGAAAGAAAAAGTAATGATGGAAAATCACTGTAACAATGTTTCTGGCTTTTTTTTTTCTCCTGATTGTTTATTGAAAATTCTTCATAGACATTATATAGTATTGACTGCCAGTGCATCAACAGAAGAAAATCATCTAGAGTGGTAAGACATATTTCAGGTTCTCTACTTACTGTATGATGATAACATTTATCACTTATAAGACACCTTCTATATTTTCAAAATCATTAAATCTTATTGGTGACTATTGTACATGACCATGGAGCATCAGTGTTTAAGAAATGCCATTAAATTAATGTTTCAGATTCAGAAGTGACACAAGATAATGATACATGTACAGATCTTTACCTTTTGTCACTTCTCAGAGTCAGATTTAAGCAAAATTGTGAGGCAGTTTGAATGATTCTGATACCTAGTCTTTTACTGAGTTTTTCATCCTTAGCATCATGTTCTCCCCAAACAAAAGGAAAGACATTATATATATTTTGAAGTTTAGTTGATTTACAATATTATATTATTTTCACATGTATAGCATAGTGATTCAATATTTTTGCAGATTCTACTCCATTGAAAGTTATTACAAGATAATGGCTATCATTCCCTGTGCTATACAATATATCCTTGTTGCTTACCTGTTTTATACATAGTTAAATCTGTTAATCCCATACCCCTAATTTGCCCCTACCCTTTTCCCTCTCCCTAAACCACTAGTTTGTTTTCTGTATGTGTGAGTCTGTTTCTCTTTTGCATATACATTCATTTGTATTATTTTTTAGATTCCACATATAAGTGGTATCATACAGTATTTGTGTTTCTGTCTTTTCACTAAGCATAATCTCGAGGTCTATCCACATTGCTGCAAATGGCAGAATTTCATTCTTTTTATGGCTGAATAGTATTCCATTTTGTACATACACATCTTCTTTATCCATTTGCCTATTCATGGGCACTTCAGTTGCTTCCATATCTTGGCCATTGTAAACTGCTGCTATGAACACTGGGGTGTGTGTATCTTTTTGAATTAGTGTTTTAGTTTTTTTCCCCAGATAAATATATCCAGGAGTGGAATTGCTGGATCATATGGTAGTTCTGTTTTTAGTTCTTTGAGGAATGTCCATACTGTTTCCCATAGTGGCTGTGCCAGTTTACATTCCTACCAACAATGTGCAAAGGGTTCCCTTTTCTCCACATCTTCTCCAACATTTGTTATTTGTACACTTTTTGATGATAGCCATTCTGACAGGTATGAGGTGACATCTCGTTGTTTTGATTTCATTTCCTTGAAGATTGTGACTTTGAGCATCTTTTCATATGCCTGTTAGCCACCTATATGTCTTCTTTTGAAAATACCTATTCAAGTCTTCTGCCTATTTTTTGATTGAGTTTGCTTTTTGATACTGAGTTGTATGAGCTTATGTAATGTTTTCATTTAGATGATAGCATGGAAGGTTTCAGAATTTTATGCTTCAGGGGGAGGGTGTAGCTCAAGCGTAGAGCGCATGCTTAGCATACACAAGGTCCTGGGTTCAATCCCTAGTACCTCCTCTAAAAATAAGTAAATAAGTAAAACTAATTACCCCCCCAAATTAAATAAATAAAAATTTAAAAAAAAAAGTAAAAAAAGAATTAAAAAATTTAAAAAAAAGAATTTTATGCTTCTCTCAGCAGATAGGAGATATTTTTGATCAAGGTGGAGTGCATTCTTTCTAGTGCCTCTGAATTCATTCTGTTTGCCCTCCAGTGTATTGACATCCCTAGCTCCATCAGACAGAAACTGTTAGGTTCCCAGAGGTGATTGCGCCTTTCTCAGGTCTGATTTCTGGAAAAAGAAAACACATTACTGTCTTTGTTCCAAGGGTTTAACACTTATTTCATTGAGCATTTAAGACACCCTGAAAAGAATCCTTTCACTAAAACTATCTAGATCAGGGATCAGAAAACTATGGTCTGGGCCAAATCTAGTCTGTTCCTGTTTTTATAAATAAAGTTTTATTGTAACACAGCCACACTTACTCATTTATACATTGTCTATGACTGGTTTCCTGCTACATGGCAGAGTTGAATAGTTGTGACAAAAACATATGGCCCACAAAGCCTGAAATAATTACTGTCTGGCTCTTTACAGAAAAAGTTTGCCAACATCTCATTTAGATAACACCAAGGAATAACTCAGTGTTTGTATATCTGCTGTTGGAGCACACACAATAATAATGTGTAAGCTTTTTCAAGTGTTTAAAAAATGTGAAAATGTTCTAGTTATTCTAATTCATAAAATCATTAATAAGTTAACATTAAGTGACAGCAATCACATTTCTTAAGGTAGAAAATAAAGTTGCAGAAATCTCCTGAAGCTTTCTGTATTTTAGTAGTATCTGATCTTATTTTAGTGAATTATTTTTAAAATATCTAGTATCAATTTTGTGAAGATTAGAGTATGTTTATTTCATGAATTAAGTGCCAATTGTTAGCTTTTTTGTTAACAGTTGTATGTTAGTTTTAGCATTTAGACATAAGACTTGAGTAGAAAACGATTTAGAACCAGATTAACTATAGTTTTTATTCATGTTCCAATCATGACTGTTTTATGGCCTTAACAGGCAGAGTATTTTAGATTGGGAATGCATTAGATATAGATAAATTCTTCTTAAAAAGAAAGGGAAAGAAACATAGAAATTCACTAACTTATTTACTTGAATGATATTTTAAATAGGGTCCCTTGATATATTGGACTGAATTTCTTAAATGAACATGTAAAGCATCATAGCTAATATGCAGTTTGATTTACTTGGATGTAGCTTCCAAACTGAATATGGAAAAATCTTGTCTGGTTTTATTTTAGGGTTGGATTAGTAGAATCTAAAATACGTGTACTTGTTGGAAACTTGGAACGGAATGAATTTATTACTCTTGCCCATGTAAATCCCCAGTCATTCCCAGGAAATAAGGAACATCATAAAGAGTAAGTTAATTATTTTTTAATATTATATATCTTAAATAATGTTATCTGACATAGTATTGTTTAAGATCAGTTGTGAAATTGTTACTTAACAGGCATTGATGGAGGATGATACATTGTATACTTGAGCATGAGTGGTCATGTGTTAAAACGAAGTACATGCTATGTTGGTACCCCACAGACCCCAGCAAAAACTCCATCACAATATTTGGAGTATCTTTAAATATATTTTAAGTAAATCATTTTCAAAGCCACTTAATCTTCTTTATAATAACGCAGGATAACTTAATAGTGTTCTTGGTGTCAGTTTTAAGAATTTGGCCAAACCACTAAAATATGCTTATACTTTTCATAGAGATGAATTTTTAATTACTAAAGAGCATGTGTAAAATTGTAAAAACTAATGGAAATTCTTAAATTTTACTTTATAGCAACAATTATGTATCAATGTGGTTCCTTGGAATAATTTTCCGGAGAGTAGAAAATGCAGAAAGTGTTAATATAGACCTGACATATGATATACAGTCATTTACTGATACAGGTAAGACTTGGTCCTTATAGAGCTGTGATTCTCAACTTTGGCTATAACACAGTATCATCTGCCTAGTATCTGGCTGGCTATGCTTTTTTGAAGTTCCACAATTGGTTAAATGAATATAGTACATTTATATTATGAAAATCTGTGCTGCTATTAAAAAAGTAAAGGCATGATAAAACAATTTCCAAGACATATTAGGTGGGGGAGTGGGGCACGACTGCAGACTAGTATGTATAGTGTGCTACCATTAGTATAAAGAAGTAAAGAAAGAATATGTGCATGTTTGCTTAAAAAAATGTGGACTATCTCTGGAAGGATATATAGTTTTAAAGAAAGAAACTGGTAGAACTGGTTCTTTTTAGATCAGGGAGAACCAAGTGTGCCTACTGGACTGGGGTGAGGAGACTTCGCTGTATACTCTCCAGCCATTCTGTATCATGTGAATGTGTTAACTGTTTTAAAACAGAAGGAAGACTAAAGAAACTCTGCAGGTGATTTTTAGTGTGCATAGCCACAGTTTATAATCACAATCATAAAGATGACTTGCTTATTATGTTTTCATAAGTATCAGTCAGTACAGACTTGCTGAATATATTCAGAATCAATGAAAAGAGTTTTCACATCTGGCTCTCTAATAACATCTCTGTGGAATATCTTAATATATCTCTTACAAATCTGGAGTTGTCTTAAAATCTGGAATAGTATACACTCATACTATTAATATTCTTGGTTAGCCCATCTGAGTTTTCTAAATTCTTTTGAACTAGCCTTCATATTTATCATGAAAGTGTAGGTTCCTGTGCATCACCTTAGAACTATTAAATCACACACTCTGGGAAGTAGAGCTAGGAGTCTGCACATTGAACAAGCACTCCTGGTGATTGTTTTATAAGTAATCTGGAACAAAAGCATAGGTACACATTTTTCCATTCTAATTTGGACCTGTTTTTCCAAAAGGAGGAGGTTGGGAAGCTCTGTTTATTATAGATTTATAAAGTGTTCTTCTCCAGTTAGAGATACTAAGGCCCCAAGAGTAAATAATTTACATTTCACAGTAATTACTGTGCAAAAGAAACCTCCCATCCTTGGGTAAGTTTTGGGTATTCACAGTTAACATAGGTTAAATAATTTACGTGGTAGTTAATAATACTGATTTTCTTATACGGTGTGAAAAGCACTAGAATGGGAATCCAGGGCTGTGTGTATACCAGTTTCGGCAAGGCATTCAGGGCTGTTGAGCCTCATTTCCCCACCTGTGTAATAAGGGAGTACTTCTGGATGGTTTCTGATATCTGACATTCTGTGCTTGGTGTAATAAAAGAAGCTTCATGGAGGAGGAGAGCTTGAGTTTGCATCTTGGATATTTAGTATAAGGATTAACTTGGACTTGGGCAAGTAATTATAAGAAGAGATTGCCTTTGGGGAAAATAGCAGAAAATAAGATTTGGAAAAAAATTTTCTTCCATACATTTATCTGTTAATGAGATTTGATTATAGGAAAGTCTTAAAGAGTTGACATGAGAAAACTAGTCAGTACTTGAGTAGGATTGTGACGTGAAAATGTTTTGGGAGTATGTATTTGTTCTGTAAGAGGAATGTGTGTGTGTAGTAATGGGGATATATTGAAGGTACAAATTTCAGAAAAAAAGCAAAGCTCTTGATTCAGAAAGAATTTCCCCATTTAACATACTGACTTTGTTACAGTGTACAGACAGGCAAACAATATAAACATGCTAAAGGAGGGAATGAAAATTGAAGCAACTCATGTTAAAAAAAAACAACTTCATCACTACCTTCCCGCAGAGATTCTTCAAAAGAAAAAAAAGGTGAGTTTGTACTCTTAACTCTCCAAGTGGAACTCAGACAAATGATCCTGGGACCAAATTTGTGTTTTTTTACAGCACCCAAACCTATTGAGAATAAAGGAAAGTACAGACAAGTCAATCTAGGACTAAAATCTTACTTTCATTAATCACAAAGGATAATTTGTTATATGTACTTCAGAATTGAAACCAGTCATTTTTATTTACTTTTTGAAATCCTGAAAGTTTTCCTCTCTTTCAGCAAAGTCTTTCTGATGTCAGCCGAAGTTCGAGTGGCCCTCAGTCCAAAAGATCATCTCTGGATGGCAGTTGTTTGGACAGCTCCAGAGACACTGATAATGGAACACCTTTTAATTCCCCAGTGTCTGCAAGCAAACCTGCCAAGCCTGATGTTACTCCTTCAGGAGAGACAGAAAGGTATGTATTTTAAAACTTTTCCTTTCAGTCTTCAGTTTGAGGATAAACTTTTCTATACCTTTGCTTAAATACTTTTTTTTAATTGTAAAAACATTTTATTTTGCCAGTTACTAGTTAGTTTCTTATTTAGAATTACTTGACTGTGGTAATCCTGTGGGACAAGGTATAGATTTATGAATAGGTGGAGTACATAAGTACACGCGAACAACAGCTTTTCTCTTTAATTTTTTCTATTAATTCTCCCTGGGTCTTCTTCCTCCCCCAACCCTTTCTCTTCCTTCAGTCAAATGTTAATGTAGGAGTACTGAAAGAAGTAATCTGAAGTGCTAAAATAAGAGTATTTTAAATACATGATATTTAAATAATTTAATGATGATAGTTGAATACTTTTTAAAGGAATAATGCTGATCCTGCTGGTATAATTGTGGAAAAGCCACTGAGTGTCCCGCCAGCGCAAGGGCTGTCTATTCCGGTCATTGGTGCAAGTAGGTATTTACACTTTTCTTAGTAATTATTCTACTACATATCTATTTAATTACTAAAATCTTTTTTTTTCCTTTTCAGAAGTTGACTCTGCAGTAAGAGCTGTATCACCCCCAGCTGTATGTACCATTCCTACTGTAGTAGGACGAAATGTCATTCCTAGAATCACAACACCCCACAACTCTACCCAGGGGCAACCACATCTAAATGGAATGTCAAATATAACTAAGAATGTTACACCCAAGAGATCCCATTCCCCATCCATAGATGGGTCTTCTAAGAGGTTGAAAGACATAGAGAAGGTAAAACTTCAACCTAAGTGGTGATTCAGTAGTTGATTTTTTTTCAAAGTAAACTTAAAATAGTGCTAAACAAACTCACAATTCTTTAAAGCTATCTTAGTATTTAAAAAGTACTTACCCAACCCCTAACAGGATAACACTAATTGTTCATCCTAAATTCAAATTATTTATGTGTCTGAAAACTTGAATGATTGGTCTAATTTTCTCCTTGACTTACATAGAAGATATTATTGGTAACTAATGAATCATATGTATTGTGTGTTATAATGTTGATCTCCTGTGCCTCCAGTAGGTGGTGGTAAAACTTTCATCATCATCTGAATTGATTAAGCAAAAAGATCCCTCAAACTGTAGAGGTTAAGGATGGCAGTCCTCCTCAGAGTCAGTCTCCTCCCTCACAAAACCATCTTTGTTATAGTTTTTGGTAATAGTTTTGGTGTTAGCCTAATCAATAATTAGTTTCTCGGTTTTGTATAGATTTATATGGGTTTTGTAGGTAATAAGTCATTTTAATGTTTATATTTTAGTTTATTCGACTTGAATCAACGTTTAAGGAATCACGTGCTGCTGAAGACAGAAAAAGAAAATCAGTGGTAAGTATATTAGTAGTGTGCTTCAAAATGTTTACTTTTAAAGAGCCATGTTTCAGGAAGAGTACTGTATTCAAAAGTAGATCAGATTAGATCTGTCTGTCAAATTTTGGCTAGGTTTTATTTCATGTGGAAATAAATATTTGCTTATAGGACAAAGTTTTCACTTGTACGTAATTTTGTTTTTAGGATGCCATTGGAGGAGAATGTATGCCTATTCCAACTATTGACACATCACGCAAAAAGGTAACAGTCTTACTTGTAAGTAAAATACATAGGTAAAAATTCATGGGCAATCTACAGGTACAAAAAAGCTTATTAAAGAAGAGCATAGCACTGAGTGAAGGAAAAGGGTAATACGATTTTGTCACTGTCTTCAGAGACCAGCAGTATAGATGGAAGTTGGGGATGGAAATAGCAAAGTATATGATTCTAAATGTATGTACCTCAAAGTCTAGAAAAGAGGGAGTCATTTAAGACAGTTTATTCAGGTATGTTCAACCTTTGTTTTTATTTTAAAGAAGCAGTTTAGTGCTCAGCACAGTAATTTCTTACCAACACTTGCTAGTCTGTCTTTTGTTGTACACCACTGTTTTACTGACAGAATCTAGGTTTGGTAGTAGAGAACTGTCCTTACTAATATTTTGGAGGAACCACATATATTGATGTACAGGGTAAGTACATTTAAAACATGAACTAAAGAGCCCCTAAATCTCAATTTTAAAATTTACTTTCAAAGGATTATCATTTATATTGCAGGTGCTCAAAAAATCAGCCTTGTCTAAGTCAGAAAAAGTCCTTCTCTGAGAGGTTACAGTGAACAAAATGGCTTATTTTCACCCCCTATTAAAGAATAAAGTGTTTCTCATCACAGTCCACTGTCACCCTACCAGGTTCCCCAGGATGTGTCAGCCATTCTAAAGCAAAATAGGAAATGTCCTCATAATGTATTAGTAGTAGAATTTGTAAAATTTCTTTTATTGCTAGAGTGGGTTACAAAAAGTAGGAGTGTGAAATTATGTATTATAATGAAAGAAAAAAATTTAAGATGGATATTAAATATGAAAGTGTGAAATGACATGTCTGGGTTTTGCTTTAAAAGGTTTCAGTTATAAAAGGTGAAAGGCATAAACTAAACAAATGTTGCAAATTTTTAATAATATTTGAGTCTTGGTTGTGGCATCTAAGCCTTCATTGTCCTTCCCAACCTCTACTTTTATGTATATATAAAATTTTTCATGTGTTTTTGAATGGATGTAGGTGTAATATAATTTGTTTAGCCAAGGTGACATGAGAAGAGAATTAACTCTTGGGAGTCGTCTCTTGACAAGAAGCTAACATACTGTTTCCATCACATAACTGTCTGTATTTTAGGTTTCTATCTTTGTTTCTCAATTTCTTAGATTTTGCCTTCATTACATAATAATCTTTAGTGTCTTCCAAAGCCCTCGTATTGATGTCCCTGAATTTTACCATCACTAAAGTTACCTACCCTTACTTGCAAGTGAGTTTTCCTGAAAACTTTCTCTCACATGAATATATTACATGAAACTAATTGAGGGATGTAACTGGATACCAAATTTTCCTCTGTGTCACACACATTTTTTACCTTGCACCTTGAGTTTCCTGTTTAGTGACCATGCTTTTCCTGTTTCTCTTTACCATTGCCTGACTCTGAGGAGGACGTGTTCTTTATGCATTTCTCAGTCTAGGAGTGGCCATGTTTGTTAAGTCCTCTTTGCTATACATACAGTCTTCCACTTCTGCCCTTTCCCTGTCCCTCTGCTTTCCGCCTCTGTTTAAAAAAAAAAGTCCACCAAACAGGAAGTACCTATGAACATTGGGAGAAAATATTCAACACATACTTGAGTTTTTAGCAGTTTGGAGAAAAACTCGAGTTTTATGACTTATTTACTAGTTGGACCTTAATAAGTATTTGTTTTTCCTTCTTTGTTTCTGTTTCTTTCTAACAGAGATTGCCCAGTAAAGAACTCCCAGATTCATCATCTCCAGTTCCAGCAAATAACATCCGTGTCATCAAAAATTCCATTCGACTGACCCTAAATCGGTAAAAGCAGTGCCTCCTTACTTAAGTGAATATGCAATCATTTAGTGGCATAGATGCAGCCACTCTTTTTAAAATAGAAGTGGCTGTCATACATAAAGTAAGGTGAAAGTTACAGCCATCAGCCTAACAACCTTGAAGTGGTTTTTGAACTCTCACACTTTGACCTGCAGATGCTGTAGCATTCTCTCATTGATTGCTACATACACTTCTCTGAGGATCACCTGCTATCAAATTGTCATCTACACTATTATGGCTTTGCGTTGGAAGTTTTACTGCCTTAACTTTCGATGCTTGTTACTCTGTTATGGGAACCAGTTCTTGGCTCTTTGGACACTGATAAAACAAGTCCTGAACTTTTTTTTTTTTTAAGTCTTATGTTGTAATCATTGTATAAAACTGAAAAAGTTGAAAAACAACAAAAATAATTTTCCCGATTTTAACACATTTACTTTAGCATTGAAGCCACTTTGTGAAACCTGAGATAAATGAATGTGTGGTATCTTTTCTGCTTTCCTCATGTGTGTAGATGTACTTATTGTCTGTTCTGTTGATTTAAATTATTTTTTCCCAGATTGGCACATGGAATATTTAAATTATTTTTTTTTGTGCCTTTCTGTCCAAATGTTGCATAGTTACCAGGGAGGATTAGTCCCGTGATTACATAAGAGTTGGGCACCATAAATTCTCTGTATTTTGCCTCCTATGGAGGCCTTCGAAGTGCATCTTTATTAAGAATCAAAATACAGCCAGGATACTGAAAGTCAGTATATGAATGGTGAAGTTGTTACATATCCTATCTCATGCCATTCTTGTTGGTGTTTTTTTTACTACGGAGCAACTCATTCCAGCATCAACGATAAGATACCTTTAAGTATGGCAAACTTGTATTTTTGAGGTGTACAGTTAACTTGGCATGATAACTCCTGACCATTACTTACCCCACAACATCAGTTTCTTCATGGACTAGGCATGCAGAAATAAGCAGTGGATTTTATTGAAACGTAAAGGCATTTTTGAATGACACTGTTACCAACCATTAATTGGCTCAGGACCTTTGTAATTTTTATTTGAATATATGAGTTGTCTTTTTTTTACACTGCTTTTTTCAATGCATTTAATTTTTTTTTAAGTTTCATGAACGCATGCTCCATTTATTAAATCCATAACCATGTAATTCTTGTAATATGTTGATTCAGTGTTTTGTAAATGAAGTCGTATGTATTTTCAGAGTATTTTTGTATGTACTGTAAGATACCATCTTTTCAAAGAGAAAACTTTAAAACCTTTACTGTCTCTCTTTAGTCTAATTTTTTAAATATGGATTATGCTTAAATTATTCTTAAAATGAAAATGTATAGATTGCACAGCCAGGAATGCTGGTATATATTACCTTCTTCAGTCTACCTTTCACTCACCATTTAGTAGATCCAGTAGGAAAAACACAAAATGGTACATTAGAATACTGCAGGGAAAATCCTGTGTTGCATAGTTTGTAGGACTCATGCGATGTTGTTTAGGTGGAGTAATAGTCCATTTTCTCTTGCAAGCCATTGACTTGAAATACTTGAATTCTGATTGTCAGAGAACAGTATCCTTCTCCCACTCCTGTTCCCTGACTCCTAGGTCTCTGAAATGGAAATTCTGGTGTTTAACTTTTACAAAGGAAAACTTCTTTAAAGTAAAGAAGAGCAAGGAAAAAACAATGATTGTTCCATTATTCACTTTTTATATAGCAGAAGACAAGAATGAACTCCCATAGCCAAGTTGTAGCTTCTTTGGCAAAGCTGTTCTCTTAGCTGACTCTTTTCCTTTATTCGAATATTTTGAGATTTGTCCGATACTCTTATTTCAGCAAAAGTGAATGATTATGAAAGGACTGAATAATTCACCTGACTTCAAACTCTTGAAAACTTCTTTAGTGAGGGATTTAATTTTATATATTTGATGTGTTTGCACTTCTTTATTTATCTATTATCTCCTATTATCAGGCTTTAAAATCGAAGAATTCCCCATACATATACCCATGTTTACCCTGTTTTATAAACTGATTCTTTGGAATAACTAGTGGAGTTTCCCTTTAATATGAAAGCAACAGGCCTAACCTTTATACTGTATAATACAGTTATTTCTCTTGTTTTAAGGGTCCATTTGACATGGGATTAAGACACAGCCAATAGTTCAGTGTTAGACTTTTCAAAGAAAGCATTCTTCTACCTGTTTGGTAACTGGGGAACTGATGAGGTGCTTGAGTTGGTGGGTTTGGTCAGAAATGAAGTGTTTTCTATCCTGAACAGTAGGTAGAACATGCAGCAGTTGACCCTTGAACACGGATTTGAACTACACAGGTCTCACTATACGTGGATTTTTTCCCAATAAATGTAGTATTTGTATTTTCATTTTACAGATCTTTAAGTGTGGGGGAAAGTTGATGTTCGATTAGTGATCACAATATGTGGAATCAAAAGAACTAGGGTTTGAGTCCTGATTGTATCCAAACTGTTCCAGTTTCCTGCCCTTTGGTGAGTCACGTATCAATTTCTTTGTTTTTGAGATAGCAGTACAAGTGTTTTCAAGGAGGGTGGGGGTTGATGCCCCTAACTCCTGCATTGTTCAAGGGTCAACTGTACATTTTGTTAGAATAGTAGGAGCCCTCATTGTACTAGTTCCAAGTAAGTAAGATGGAAAGGAATGGTCTGCGATTACATGCTATGTTCAGTGGTGTTAAGTAGATGTGTTCGATTTCAAGTGTTTAAACTATACCCAGAAGTGTATTTTATAAAGTCAACTTCTTCTTCAGTATGTAGATACATGTTCATTTTCACAAGGGTATTAAATTTTAATCTCATTTTTAGTGACTGGCTCTGAAGAACAGTATATATCAAAGGAAAACAGTTATCTGCTAGTTTAAACCTTAGAGACTTATGTAATTTGAGAGACAGGATACATGGCTTAAAATCTTGTAAAATCAGGGCAAGAGAAAAAGGAGGTGGGGTTAGGAACCACAGCTTTTCAGGATTGAATACTCCCAAACTCTTTGAAATTTTTTCCATAAGATGTTTCTCTGGTATATGTCTAAAAATGTACTGTGGCTCTTAGCTAATCAGGTGGACTGATGGAGGACTCTGGAACACTGAATTTCTAAGTTTTTTAATAAATCGTATGAAACTTCACTAGTATTTAGAAAAACATGATTGGATTTATGAATGTCTCATGTTAACTTAGATTCACTAACAGGGTCAAACTTAAGTTCAACAAATTTCAGCGTAAGATTGACCAGAGTAGAATAGCCTAGAATAATCATTAGAAATGGTAAAAAATAGAATTAATCATTAAAGATCCCAATCCTTTGGTTTTGGTAGCATTAAAGTTCTTATTCCTCCATGTTTGTGGTTCAGACCAGAATAGACTGAACAGGCCAATAAACAAAACTTTAGTGTAAAGAAAATAATTTTTTATAAATAAAATTGTGTGTGTGTTTAAATAACTACCTACCTATTAAATCTTCCAAAGCTTAGAATTTAGGTCATGATGATAGTGATGACTATAGTACAAGTGATGGAAGAAAACCGGTCTCAATAATGGTAACTATTTCCTTAGGATTTTTTAAATAGGATTGTACAAGGTCAGATCCTTCCCCAATTGCCTATTTTTTCTGAAATAATTTTTCTGATATAATTTTATATTTGAAGTTAGTTGAACATGCGATTATCAGGCTTACTATAATTTTTAATGTCTTGCTGCATTTTTGCTGCAAAGATCCATGTCATTACCTTAAAAAAGGACTTATGATATCTTTGAGGTAAATGGTGCTACATCACTTCACAGTACTATGTAAAATGAATGCAGCTGCTGTTCCTCTCTAGATAGCTGTTTGTGTAGTTCATATTAATTTTCCTGCCTTTTATTTGGACTGTCTTATTTCCTAGTTGTACACGCAAGCCTCATTATTTGTCTGCAATAAGTAATCAAATAAACTTGCTTTGATAAATAGCTGTTGATGATTGACTGATATTATTCGGGACTAACTCAGAAGTACCAGACATCTACTTATTTTTCAAACTGACAGACCCTTTGGCAGATAGCAGTATCCACTACCTGCTTAATATGAAAGCAAAGCTCACCCTCAATTTGCCTGACACAGAATATCTTATTAAACATTAGCAAACAGTAGCAAATACTGGGGGCAAAATTCTACCATCCTTGTGGTCAACATCAGGTGACCAAAATTCTCTACTAATAGTGGAACCGAGGTGCATTTAGCACAGCTTTTGAGTACTGTCCACAGAAGTAAGCCACAGAGCTTGTCACATTCTTGTTGATAAACAGGGACTTGTTTTTAGCCAATCTGCATATCTTGATGTCTAGTACTTAAGTTCACAAGTAAGAGTCTGCGTCTACATCAAGATTATTAGCAAGCCCTCATGGTACCAGTGGAAATGCACTTGACATTTATTAAGCTAATTAAAGCAAAGCCTCCAGTATTGATTGAGCTGTGCATGACAGAAGGACTTCTAACAGTCACTTGTGAAGAACACTGACTGGAGTGCCAGCTGACCATCCCTGGAGTGTAAATTTCTGAACAGGGCAACTCACTGCTCCTGGTATAGAACTTCAACACAATCACCACACTGTGCTGAAATGCTGAGGTAAATTAACATTGTAACAGCTTCTTTGCAGATCTGAATGCATTCAGGTATTAAGGGCAAGATAAAATTTGTTGCTTTTAAAGCACATGTTCTAAAAACTATCTTTCAAACCATATGATCCAGCCAAATTTTTACTTATTACTCCTTAAAAAGACACACCTCTAACCCTTTCCTTGCCAATCTCTATTGACATTTTGAGCCTAATGGTCCCATAAGTCCTTCCATGATAACCTGGCCAGAGTCAATCATCCTACCTTCCTAACATATTACTTGTACTTTTTAACATTTCAATTAATCTAGCTTGCATAATAATCAGTTTACCTACTTGCTTTCCCCTGAGAGGTTATAAGTTGAGAGTAGGAACCTTTATCCAAGAATCTTTATGTAGTGAGTGCCTGGAAAATACTGAAGAGGAAAATGCATAAATCTTATTTGGTTGGTTGGTTTTGATTTTTTTTTCTCTTTAATTTGAAGAGGATTTCTGTAAGAGAGGCCTGATGAAGGAACTAAGATGCAGAATCAAACAAAATTTAATGAAAATCATTAAGGCACGTTTTTCAACTTTTTCCAAGTGACGATCATTAAGACATGTTTTTCAAACTTTCTCAACTGTAAAGCTTAGTTAAAAACATTTTATATTGTAAGCCAGCACATATATACATACATACATGAATGTGTGTGTATATATGGTTTATGTATGTATATACACATATATAATACAAGTTTTACAAAATGCTTTCCTTACTATGCGAGATACAGGTTGATACTTTAGGTACTAGCTGTAATTTCACAAAGGTAATTTCACAGCCTCGAGAGTTGTGACCTACAACTTGAAATATAGTGCATTAGTTCTCTTCCCAAAAGTTCATCTCAGATTTGGATCATCTTTCTTTACTGAGTCTGCTCTAGAATGCAACCTGTTAAAGCAGGTAGTGCCGGGAAAGACAGCAGGTGAAGGACAGATACTCCTTTCTCCCAGAGAAATCTCACCCCAAAAAACTTAACATCTTTTTATCTATTGATAATAAAATTGTGAAAGCCAAAAATCAACAAAGGGCAAGAATTGGGAAGTTTGGGTGGTATTTATTTTAGTATTGGTCAGCTGACCTCAGCTGGCCAAGGGGTGTCAATCAATCCCTGGCGGGTGGACTGGGTATAGACTGAAGAATGACAGGCATATCTTACTGACCAAGACTCACTCGAGTGAGATGCATAAATTATTTAGAAAATTCTGTTGTACACAGGGCTCATATTATATCCCAGTATGGTCCAGGGACTCAAGAATACCAGAGAACTGGGGTTCAATAGTAAAGTATTACTATCTCCTGAGGAATTCTAGACCATAATTATACGTGTTTAACATTTCCTAAGCATTTAGGATATGCCTTTTAAAACATTATGGCACTTAATCTACAATGATCCTCATGAGATAGCACTATTCTCGTTTTTACAAACAAAATTGAGACAGGGATTATGTGACCAGCTCCAAACTGCGTAACTACTAATCGGCAAACTCAGGAAGTATGATTCAAAGTCTAGTGCTCAACCGTATCTTGCATTTATGAAGGAACTTAGTTGGAAGTGTGAATCAAACCCCTGCCACCTGGCCTTCTGTGGAGTCTGGAACTTTTGAGGCAGGCCTGGCCAGCAGCAGCAATGGTCATTTGTACCAGGCTGCAGGGGGCACTGTGGCCTCCTGCCTGGAGCTCAGGGCTGAGTCAGGAGAGCCCAGTTCTGCCTAGGCTCTACCACTCACATCCGTGTACCTACAGTGGACACTTAGTCCCCTGTGCTTTGTTCTCTGCCACCTTAAACACTTGCCCTTCAAGCCTCCCAGGGAAGCTGTCACAAGAAAATATTCCAAAAGACTGGCAGGGTCTACAGACAGGATGGACAGACAAACTTAATCTCCCAGAATAAGAGATGTGTAGCATTCCTTAGCCATCAATCTAAGTGAGAGCAGGAAGCAAAGAGATCCAGGAGAAAAAATACCAGGAAAAGAAAAATGAAAATGAAGTTTCACTTGATATGCTTGATCATCATGCGAGGATGTGAACACTTCTGTCAGAGTCTGAGAACACGCAAGTAATTTTTTTTAATGACACATATTCATTTCAGGGAAATCAAAAAGTTATATAAAAAGGAAATATGTCTACAGTATATCACATGGCTCAGCTATAAATATTCACCAACTCATAATAACGTAAGTAGAGAATATTGAACTAGCCCCAAATTGTACCTATACTGGGAAGGAGTGTGTAGGATAGTGAGATCCTCATCTTCAGTAGCAGTGAGTGGAAAATATCCAAAACCAAAGAGCCTAGCATAGTGGAAGCATGTTAGTTAGAAATATAGGAGAAAAATAGTAACTGGGAATAAATAATGGGAGAAAAGTCTTAAAGACTTAAAAATAAATGTCTCTAGGGAACAGAAATCAGGACTGAGGAAGGGAGGCAACCTTTTTTTCTTTTTTAAGAAGACTTATAGAACTTTTTGCCTTTTAAACTAGTATATCCACCATCTGACCAGTATGCTGTTAGAGAATGTTGCAGACTTTGGAACAGACAGATCTCTGCTCCCATATCTTACTGCTTGTAGGACCTTGGGTTCCAGGTTACCAATCCATAAAGTGAATCTATCAAGACCTGTTTCAGCAGAGGAGCACAGAGAAGTGGTTTAGAGGCTCTGCATTCGGACAGCCTAGGCTCAGATTCCAGCTCCGACTGAGAGAAGTTGAGGAAATTACTTCATTTCTCTGTTCCTCAGTTTTCCAAGAATGGCAGTTGTAGTAACAGAATCTACCTCAAAGAGTTGCTAAATGCATTAAAAGAGATAGATAACCCAGAAGCTCCTGGCACACAGTGAAGTTTAATTAATTTTGAAGCATTAAGGGGGTTACACAAAACAGCACATCATGCACTAGGCAAGGCACGTGGCCCTGAATGGGCATCCACTTCTAAACACACATCCAAAGAATCCGAAGAAGCCAGTGTCTGTGTCACCTCAGCCAGACGGAAGTCCTAGATCACCTCCACCCAGTGACGTGGTGATAATTGGTCCTTGCCCTGCCGCCAAGTCCCTCTCCAAACGTACACAGAACAGTTGTTCTATTTGGAGAAAGTGCATAAAACTCATTTAATTCTTAAAGAGTTCCACTGGCTTGTTCTTCAGTCTACTTAAGGGTTACAACAGGTTAGGCTGAGCTGAGAACCTAACAAGGCTGTCTGCCAGTCAGGACTCAAAGAGCGTGAACCTCTCTGGTTTCAATGAGCATCCTCTTGATTTCAGGTGAGACTACACCTGTAAAACTAGCCAGACATGGAGCAATGGCCACAGGAGTGATCCAAAGCCACACCCTACCCAGTCATACCTACACCTAATTACTCCTGCCTCTCCTGGGAGTGAGACAAGACTGCCTGGCCCAGATCCCAAGTCACTTCCTGCCAGGGCTTCACAGCAATTCAAAGAACTTCTAAGTGCAGGTTCTTTCCAAACAGATTGGTTTCTTGAAACTCACAAGAAGTCAAACACCAGAAAAGAGGGGATTTCTGAAAGCCACCCACTAGGATGGCAACTGGTACTCGGCAGTTTCAAATATTAAGAAGAGAAAAAAAAATCAGCGTTGATTAGGCAGTATCTAATCTCCCTGAGCACAGGAAGTGAAGGCGATTGAGTCTGATCTGCAGGAGGCCCTGAGGATGTACAAAAGCAGCCACTCCTCCAGCAAGGCCCACTCACCGCCTGCAGGGACGCCTGCTTTTCCTGCCTCCAGCTGAGCACACCAGAGGGAAAGCACCATTAAACTCCCTGTGAGCTCGGAGCCCATCAGCTGCACCAAGGTCACCAGGTGAAGGGGATGGGGAAGGAGGGAAGAAAGGATGAGATCAGTCTGACAGGCTGAGTTGATGGGGCCAGTGGAAGACAAAAGTCTTGAAGCCATTCATTCCATAAATGTTCATGGAACATTCACCAGGCACTGAGTTTGCCACCCAAGACACAAACAAGAATGAAACTGTCCCTGCACTGAAGGGCCCGTCAGACTGGTAGACAGTTGGCGGACATCTGGGTTCCATCACACTGTGAGAGCACAGCAGAGGGACCCTACTTCCGCCTTGGTCAGGGATGGTGTTAGGGAAAAACAACCTTGGGGTAGAATGTTGCAGGACATTAGGAGTCTTCCAGGCAGACAAACAGTTGGGAGAGGTGGGAGGGGGAGAAGCAATGCAGAGGAAACCTCATGCAAAAGATGAAGGTTCTGGAAATTAGATGTTATAGTAGGACCATGTGAAAGGAGTACTGGATGCATTCGAGGAAGAGGTTTAAGAAGAGGCTAGAAAGGCAGAGTCCCACTACCTGTGGATGGGAGAGGGGGAGAGAAAGGCAGGGAGATGATGAGGCTCCTGCTATGGTCTGGCTAAGAAACGCAGAGGGAGGAAGCCAAGGGAGCACAGAGGGGATATGTTTTGAGAGGTTTCTGAGGTAGGATGCGTAGGATCTGCCAACAAACTGGATGAGGGAAAGAGGAGCGGATAGTTCCCACTTCCCTTGGGTTGGAAGACATTGTATCGTCCATCAATTCTGAGAGTACAGAGGGAGTGTTGGGGTGAAAGGGTCATGAACTCAGATTTGGCTGTGTTGAGTTTGAGCTGCCTCAAGTTCATCCTCATGGAGATGTGCAGTAGACAGTGGGAAATACAGGCACACCTCATTTTATTGCAACTTGCGCATATTGTACTCTTTACAAATTGAAGGTTTGTGGCAACCCTGCACTGAGCAAGTCTGTTGGCATTTCTCCAACAGCATTTGCTCACTTCCTGTCTCTGTCACATTTTGGTGATTCTCACAATGTTTCAAACCCTCCCCCAGCAAAAAGATTACAACTTGCTGAAGGCTCAGGTGATGGTTAGCATCTTCAGCAATAAAGTATTTTTTAATCAAGGTATTTTTTGAGACATAATGCTATTGCACACTTAAGAGACTATAGTAGAGTGTAAACCTAACTTTTATATATGCACTGGGAAACCAAAACATTTGTGTGACTCGCCTTACTGCAGCAGTCTGGAACTGAACTCGCAGTATCTCCAAAGTATGCCCGCACTGGCCTAGAGCCCAGAAGAGAGGCCTTGGCTGGAGGCCCGGACTTCACAGGTTGGCAGGGTTGCATTTACAGGTATTTGTGAGTAGGGACCTAACCTCACGAGACGGGTTCTCCTACTAGAGAAACAGGAAGGGGGGCAGCTTATCTGATTGGTCACTTGGGGAAGGAACTAAGCATGTGCAGTCAGGCCCTGAGGGCTCACCCCGTCTGGATCTATCCCTCCAGGTGCTGAGTGGTTCCCTGGAACTGCAGTAGGGTGGTCTGCAGAGTGAGCCTCTTGGAGCAGACCCAAAGCCATGGTCTCCAATCAGCATTATCAGTAATAAAGCAAATGTCTGGATCTCCATCTGTCTCCTACAAACTCACAAAGGAGAAGGTGTTATTTATTGAAACCACTGCCAAACTCCCAGCACTACTAGTGTATTTTTTGTTTGCTGTACTTTTCTCCCCTCTGCATTCCAAGCAGGTGGTCAGGCCTGGAGTGGTTCCTTTCCTGAGATGTTCTTGCAGAGTGAAAAAGCAATCATCCAGCAGTCTGTGCTTGGTTATTCCTGGGGCGGGGGCTTTGAGAGCTACAAGAGGAGAGAGAAGAGATTCGACCCTGGACTGGGGAGAGGGGAAGTATCAGCAGGTCCCAGAGGACGGGGGTCTGGACATTACTGTGTCAACTCACCAGGGAGGTGACAAGTCCTCAATGAGGGCAGTTGATCAGTGTAGTTGGGAAGGCTGGATCCCAGGCCCAGGACACTCACTTTACCAAGGGTCCCTTTGCTCCAAGCAGCAAGGTCATTGGCCCTGAAGGAACCATGGGGCCAGACCAGGGAATGTCTCAGCATTTATCAGCCAGAACCAAAGACCAGTGGCTTTGCCTAGAGGGGCCTCCCAGGAGGAGCCAACCTTGACACACCCCTGGGTGGAAGGGGGTACAGTCAACAATTACTGAGATTAATTTCCTGCCAGCACAGTAGAATGGGGGCCCACTGTCAGACTGAAGTTGATTTAAACCAAGTCAAGATGTGTTATTTCCTTCACCTCAGAGTTGGAAGGCTAAGATTCACAGCTCCGACAACAGTTAGCAGAGCATGGAGGTACTGGGAGTACTGAATGCGGGGTTCAGAGGGAGTGAAGCCAAGGAGTGTGGGCAAAAGCCTGGACAATCTCAGATTTAGGGGTAAGTGAAGAAAGATGGGCTGAAAAAGTGAAATCAGCAAGGCAAGGGACACTAAAGAGAAGCGTTAATAGCATTAAAGACTGCAGAAGTCAAGTAAGGCAGGGATTGAAAGGTAGCCATGTGATCTGGCATTTAGGATGACCTTAGCAGAGCAGTGCTGTGGAGGTGGAAGTGAATGCAAGGAATAAAGGTCACATTCTCAAGAAGAGCAGCCAGGGAAGGAGGGACAAATCAGAGGTCATAGACCAAAGTGGAGGGTGGGTTTATTTTTAACTCGGTGAGTGAAGTTTGAGAAGAAGCCAATAGAACAACAGTGGATACTCGATAGAGCTACATCCAGAAGACAGGAACATTTGCACCTGTTGAGGAACTAGCCCAGGCAGGGAGTAGGAATGTGGAAAGGAGGCAGAAGTGGTGGCAGGCAGCTTCTAAGATGGTCCCCAGTGACCTCTGCCTCCTAGTATTCATGCCCTTGTGTAATCCCCTCTGCTTAAGTGGGGCTGGACTTACTCACTTCTTTTTCTTTTTTTACTTTTTATATTCAAGCCTTTTATGTATTTTGAGATACTTTTTTTAAATAGAGGTACTAGGGATTGAACCCAGGGCCTCGTGAATGCTAAGCATGTGCTCTACCACTGAGCTATTTCCCTTCCCTCTACTAGCTATTCCCCTCCCCACCCCACCCCCTATCCCCGACTCACGTCTAACAAACGAATGCAGTAGAAGTGATGGTATGCCACTGTTGATACTAGATTATAAAAAGACTGTGGCTTCCATCTTGAGCACTCTTGTCTTGCCCTCCCTTGGATCACAACCCCTTAGGGGAATCAGCTGGCATGTGTAAGGTGGCCCCACGTAAAGGCCCACATCAGTGACCCTAGAAGAGGGTCTTTGAACCCCCAGACAATAGCTTGACTGCACTCTTATGAGAGACCTCAAAGGAGAGGCACCCAACTAAACCACACCCAGAGTCCACAAACTCAAAGATTATAAATGTTTGTTCTTTTAAGCCACAAGGTTCTGAATGCAGCAAGAGATAACTATTAAGAAGTAGATACGTTTGCATGTAGGGAAGGCAAACATCTGAGGGAGCATGTGCTTTCTGAAAGCCTTCCATTTTCTGTGCAGAGAGCAAATTGAAAAGAAGAGCAAAGGTTTGGCGTGGCCACAGTGGAAGATGGGAAATTTAGCTGGCTAAGGATGCATGAAAGAATGGACCGTTACTTTTAAGGGCTCAACTGACATTGGTGATTAAAAAAAAAGTTGAAGCTACTGCAATATACAGTTAAGAAAATGTTGTCTAGCTACTTGGACAACCTGAAACAGAAGAGAGAGAGGTTACTGAAATGACCAGGATTGGGAGTCTATATGATGAT